AAATCGAGGGACGGAAGAATTTGCAGGTGAAGGGCGCCCCCAAACACACTAATTAGTGAAAAGTGCCCTAAACATCAAAATATTCTGATAGCATTAACATCTTTTGTGGTTTATAAATGTATGATTTTCATTCATGTGGACTAGTAATTTGACCTATTTTATCCTGCAAATCCCATGTTTTTTAACTGGCGGTATGTTAAATGAGGCAAATCTAGGCCTACGTCTTGTGTAGGAACATAGCCCGAGTCTTACTCAATGGACGTTTTGTAAACAGAAAATAATAAAACACGATGATAATGATGATGAGTTTGTAAACACATAGTGACAGATGCACAAACATCTGTACTGTAACAAAAGAAATTTTCAACTCTCTTCAAATCATAGATTAATCAAGAAAATGAAAATATGAATATTTCATGGGGTTGTAGTTGCTGGTAGTATTTGCATGATCAGTAAAAAATTCAACTATTCTGTGCATGTTATCTTAGGCTTTAGCTTGGCTGCGAATAAGACCGCTTAAGTTTGAGTTCCGCAATATTTTTTTATTACAAAAATCAACCCTTCAATTTCACGATTTTTAAACATACTTCAAAAGTTATTGGCTTATAATCTAGAAAACGCGGTACTGTTATAATACATACGAATTCAAGATGTTCATGGTGATCATGTTTCACTGAACAGTGATAGTTCTCAATTTGAATACTCCAAAAATTGTGATTTTTCCAATTCACAAACACACCTTAATCACGCACATGAGAGTTAATCGGACACGTGCTGCAGCTGGACAATTGCATGTGGCATGAAGCATGAAGCATTGAGCTTGGAATATGTAAATCTAAGGTACTGTTAGAGAACCCTCTCAACATTCAATGCACCTACTGAACACTAAGTATTTAACACTTAAATCATTCTATAATGAAAAAGATAAAAACATGTCATTTTTTAAAAATGTCTATTTCCATTCTGCTTTAATAAGATATTGAAACTAACATAGACCAGCACAAAAAAAAAATTCTTGTTAATGTTAATAACCATGATGTTTTGATTTTATAATATTGATCTTAATTTGATGGAAGCATTAGCTAAACAAAAACAATTCAAACATTTTAAGAAAACATCACAAAATCATCACAAGGATACTGCTAACTTAAATGGTTAAGACATCAATTTAGACGTCTTTAAGCTAGGCATATACAGCCCAGTGGTGGTAGGCCTAAGCGATTCCATGGAAAATGCGATAAGGCACGAACAACGGATCATTTTTATGGACAATCAGCTCAATCTGCCATCGATAAGCGGCAAGAGACGTTGTGTCATCGAGCTTTTAAAGAGGGCAAAGATGGATTTAATTCGTACATTTTCAATCCATTTGAACCAATTTCGTTATACTTATTATAAACATTATAACATTTTATACAGTTAACATATCTTTAATGCTAAAATGCAATTTAAATTTTATATAATTTTGGACAATAATCAGATCCTTCTTTTGAATCATGCATTACATACCACATAAGATTGTGTATTACATAATACCATGGCAAAATCTAAGAGCTCAATCACACTTATTAGGCTGGCCTAGGGTCAGCCCAGGGCCGCCTTAAATACGGCCGATTCAGGGCCGACTTGAATTTTCCCGTTCACAGTTATTTTTTAAGTCGGCCCAGGGCCGCCTTACGAACGTTCACACTTCTCTTTTGGGCCGGTTCGATAAATTAGAGGACAGGAAGTTTGTGGATATCGCATTACATGATGGCGAATAGTAAATCCCAACCAAGAATAAACACATGGAATTCGCGCAAAACATGAACCATAATTTCAATTAATTATTGTCCTTATACATTTTCGATTTTTTAAGCGTAGCATTTTGCTTCATGATTATGGCGACGATAATTATTATAACAACCAAGACGCATATTAAGCGCAGCTCGACTTTACTCTGTGCAAAACCAGACTCGGGGTCACGTGAGTAGCTTCACGAACGCAAGGAAGACGTTCAACAGAAAGAATGATACCGCTATACAATGTTATGATTTTAGAATATAAACTTGTGAAATTAATGTGTGCTATACAAAAAACAGTTCTCTTGAGCTTGTATATATATATATATATATTTTTTACTGCAATTCAACTGTAGAAAAGAAAGTCGCAGCATACGTCCTCTGCCAAACTGCCCATAAGGTTCGTATCACATGGTATTTCCCGGTTCTATTATTATGTTTACAACGTGGTGCGTGATGTTGCATGCTTATGCTTCGCACAGAGGCTGTGAGTAGTAATGAGTTAGACAAGGAAACCTTTTATATAACAAATTTTATTCAACAACTATAGTTCAACTGAATACAAAAACATTACTCTACAGTTTCCTTAACAATATATTTCTCAATGGGTTTTTTTTTTTCGTGCAAGTCAGCTCTGAAGTTGGGTCGGCCCAGGTCCCACATTGTGGGACCTGGGCCGACTTAAAAGTCTGAATAAATTTAGGTCAGCTCAGGTTCGGCTTAACATTTATTGATTGTTCACATTTAAAAAAATTACAAACCTGGGCCGGACCTGAGCCGACGTAACTCTTAAGTGTGAATGGGCTCAAAGTGTCTGTATAACATTTGGCCTTATAGCTCAGCTGGCAGAGTATCCGAAATTGAAATCTGAATGTTTAAATCCTGACTGGGACAATACATTTTTCCAAAAAAAAAATTATTAGCAATACATTCCTACAACAATCCTTTTATAGTCTTGTATCTTATAAAACAATAAATTTAAAATCTAAAACTGTAGCTACTGTCATGTTTTATGTTTTGGTTTTGAATTTTAACATATATTTTTTTTCTTTTTGAGAAAAATGTAATAAGTTATTATTTGCCTTTAGGGTAGAAAGGCTATTTGGATCAAATATTATAAAATTTCATTCAGAATTCAAGGTGTGTCTCATCATTAAGTGCAAATGCTATAATATCAACATACTTAAGTACTTCCTCTTTCTTTTCCAAGGTTATATTTATTGTTAAGCCCCTTAGCTTTACTGATAGATCATTCTCCAGTGCTGCTAACCATATTTTCTTAGCACCTGGTTTTTAGTCTAGATTATATCACTACTCTTAAGCCACCTCAATTCTTGAAAATAGATGTACCAGATTCTATCACAATTCTTCGGCCTAAATTGGGAATTTACGCGAACAGGTGCAATTGTAATGTTTTACTTTAGGCAAGCATTTGTATTTGTACAACCTTCCTGTTCTTTTTCTCACCTTGACAAAACTATACTCATTCCAAGTTCAATACCAGTAGTACTAAATACATAACAATGCTTTAAAGAAATAATATATTATGTTGACATACTGGACATGCCACCATGAAGTTTACAATTACAATCAGCATATACACTATTATTCATTATTGCATATTCCCTTTTGTCTTTCTCACTATACGGTATGCTGACAAATATTCAAGTTTGTCTCTTTCACCTGACGTAGTTAGCCAGAGCTAGTGAAGCTGTTTTGTATTATTTAAATACATGGCATTAGCCAAAGTAAGTCCACTTCATTTACAAACATCTCATTTACATTTTTAAAAATTATACAAACAATTCTAAAATACTCTGGTCAGGTATCTTGTGTTTTCATATTTTTGTCTAGTATGCTACAGTATCAGTACATGTCCGGAGAAGTAAGTTTCATTTACTTTGTATCTGACAATAAATTAAATTTCTTGGGGGGGGGGGGACAAGGAATTAATATTATATATTGTAAAATTATTATGTTAAATACTGTCTGAAAGAAGTATTCTTTCTTCTATACATTGACATAGATTATCTAACCCAGTGCATCCAAAACTGTTGGTCGGGGTCCAAAAATGGGCCTTCAATATCGTTGGTCACAAAATATAAAAATAATCACCTTTATTCTGTTTGTACAAAGAAAAAAAAAACCAACACCATAAGTGAAAATTTAGAATGATATCTATGCCTAACATTGCTTATCATTATTGTTTTTAATCAATAAATGACTGCAGAAATTTGTTTTTTCATTAACCTAGTATTGTTAAGTATGATGTAGGAAAGTTGCAAGCACGCTATGTGCAGCTGTGAGCATGCAACATCTGCCGATCACAACAGGGATATAGGCCTGGGGGAGTGTGTGTGTAAAATGAGAGTAGAACTAAATCCAAGAATGTGGAAATAAATCTCTATTCCTATAAAAAAAAAAAAGTAATGGTAGGTTTTTAGTATTTTAACTTACTTTGGTGGAACTAATTTGCTGCCATGGGTGAGGGGATTGCACCCATTCATAAAACAAGCTTGTTAGTAAAATAAAAATCGTATGAGTATATCATTGTAAGAGTCGTCTTGTCTAGTCTATCCTAGACCAAAATATGAAGCAATTTGCAGTCATGCACAGTAGGCACAAAACACCTAACAGAATCCATAGTAGGCCTACTACTCTGCATGTATATCTAATTTAGTTCTTTTTAGATAATAGAAAATGCTTTATAATTAAAATAAATAATATATAAGTAAGTTAAAACTTATGCTTTTATTACATTATTATTTTAGTACTATTATTATTATTATTTTGCTACTATTATTTTGCTACTATTATTATTATTATTTATTATTATTACTATTATTATTATTATTATTATTTTACAATTATTATTATTATTATTATTTTACTATTATTATTATTTTACAATTATTATTATTATTTTACTATTATTATTATTATTATTATTTTACAATTATTATTATTATTTTACTATTATTATTATTATTTTATTTTATTTTTTAAAATTATTATTATTTATTATTATCATTATATTGGTTGGTCAGTGGAAATTCCCAGACAAAATGTCGTTTTTAGTTATGCACATATGCATTGAATAAAAAAAACCCCAGGTAATGGTTGTTCGTAGGCTTGTAATTACCAATAGCAATTCCAGTAGCAACAGACATTTATCATTATCATCTGCTATTTTCCATAGGGTATGCAGTAACAGCTTACCTTGCAGCCTTCACAAGCCATCACCCCGTAGTGGAAGCCGGACGATTTGTCCCCACACACTTTACAAGGCAAACACAGGTCTTCATTCAACTTGCTCAACTGCTTATCCTCCTGTTGCTGCGACTGGATCATCTCCATGTTCATTCCTTGCGAATCTGAAATAAATACCAGACAGTTCAATAATAAAAATGTGTATTATCAATACAGGTACGTCTTTGTCTAAAAATCCAAGGAAAAACAATCATGTTATAAGTAACACAGTGACAGACTTACCAGATGCAACTACATAAAATATGAATCCTTTTGTGTAATTCATATGATTACATTTAGAATATTTTTATGCAACAATACCACACGGACCAATGAAAATGACAACCTTGTTCAGTCTGTTTTCCGTATTGATTAGCTAATCATCCATCAATGCTTGAATGCGCTACAGAAAACCTATAAATTCAATTTTGTAAAGTAGGTACCATCACACGAAGCACAAAACATCACATTTCTACCAACAGGGACCAAAGCACTTCGCCCATGTCTGATATCTTATTATTTTACTCGAGTCAAACGGCAAAAGCAGACCCTAGCTAACGCCCAGGGCAATTGGAAAATTAGAAAGATCACAAGAATACTGTGCTACAGATGGAGTTCACTGACCTCCGAAGTGCATAGGCATCATGTGCACCCAAGCGGAACATGACTACAAATAATTTTCATCTTTCATAGGCAAATCCTAATACAATCTCATTACTCCTAAGCATACGCCTACTGTGTATTATTTACATTGTCCATTTTCTGTCCATTATACATAGAATAATATGAATATCATTTATAAAAGTTCAATCATGGTTCTCATTATATTCTATCATATATTTTCACTGTCATTTGCATGCATAAGTAAAGTATCTCATTCATTTTTCCTTATTGCCTACCAAATACAAAATACACTGTCTTCAAAGGCTTTTTCCAATGTAATACAAAAATAAAATTTTAACCAAATCTGATGTCATTTTTAACATATTCACAATAAATGAATTATAAGGCCCTATAAAAAATATTATTAGCTTATCACCCTATCTGGGCAGGAAAAGTGATGAGGGAAGGAGGCTTTTTTTTATTTTTTATTTTGCTAAAGCCAAGTATCACCCTGGGGTTGTTTGCTGGTGTATTGATTTTCAAAGTAAAACATGATTGAGATAATACAAACAATATTTACTGTTTAATTTTAAAAAAGTGGAAAAAAAAAAATTTCAAATTTTTTTCTTTTTCAAAAAAAAAAGGTTTCTTCTAAAATATGTTTTTTTTTCAGTACCATAGAAGAAATGCATGCGAGGGTGATAAACTAATAATTTTTTTCTATTGGCCCTAATATATGCGCAGTGCTGAGTAAAATGAATGAGAGAGGGACTCTACTGGTAATATGAACAGGAAATATAATGATGTGTATAAAGTCTGTCTCTTATACACATCTAGATGTGTATAAGAGACAGCACATGACCTTGTAGATAGTTGCAGGGGACAGTCTTAAGCCTGTCTCTTATACACATCTAGATGTGTATAAGAGACAGCCCTATCTGGGCAGGAAAAGTGATGAAGGAGGGAGGCTTTTTTTAAAATTTTTTATTTTGCTAAAGCCAAATATCACCCTTGGGTTGTTTGCTGGTGCATTGATATTCAAAGTAAAACATAATTTAGATAGTACAAACAATATCTACTAACTATGTAATAAAATAAATGAAAAAAAATAAATAAATAAAATTAAAAAAAAAAAATTTCATCAAAAATGGGGTTTTTTTTCTCCCAGTACCATAGAAGACACGCGCGCGGGTGTGATAAACTAATAATTTTTTTTATTGGGCCTAATCATAATTTTATTTCAAAATTTAAAAGTCTGATAGGTATATATAGCCATTACACCAAAGAAAGCATGTACAAAAAAGATACAGTTAAATATATAACCCCAAAAAAAGTACAATCCAAGGTTAAAAGAAATCCACTGGATTATGGCCAAGGTGAGTATAAAGTATATAAACAGCTAAGGACCAAAAACCCACCAAGGTCAAAACATTCCCATAATGCAACCTTGTATTCACAAATCGAAAAAGTATGTATGATTTTTTGATATTCTGAAGTCACATTTCATGCACAATAGATGCATGTATAGTCACGTTTGCATTTAAGCTGCTTTATTAACCCTCTGGCTAGAATTGTCAATGGCAGATCACCAAACCAAAAGGAATCAAAAATATAAATTCTCTACAAAATCTGATCTTAAGGCCCTAGAAAGAAAATTATTAATTTATTAGCCTATCTAGGCTGGAAAAGTGATGAGGGAAGGAGGTTATTTTTTTATATTTTTATTTTGCTGAAGCAAAATATCACCCTTGAGTTGTTTGCTAGTGCATTGATATTCAAAGTAAAATATGATTTAGATAATACAAACAATATCTACTATTTACTAAAAAAAAATAAATAAATAGTAATAATATATTACTATTTCTTTATATATATTTTTCAATACCATAGAAGACATGGCCGCAAGGGTGATAAACTCATAATTTTTTTTATTGGGCCTAATACTCAACTAAATATTTTGCACAATTAATTTAGCTAGATTTATAAATATTCTCACATAAAAACTTAATGTACATATAGAACAATTATTCAGAATAAAAGAGCGATTACATTTCATGAGGCTACAGTCCTGACTAATAATATAATAATAATAATAAACTTAATAATAATAAATTTATTCATTCCACCACCTATGGTATAATACCGAAACTAAGAAGGCAATGCTTGTAAGCAGGTCCGGTGCTAATTTATAAATAAATGCCTTAAATAAACATCAAACAGATACAAACACGGTCCTTAACTCGCCTACTTCTCCTGAGAGGTCTATTCGAGGAGCTGAGCGTTTTTTTGTTATTATAAAAGACCCGAATTCAATACTCGACACAGAGCCGGGTATCGAACCCGGAACCTGGTGTGCAAGAGGCAGGAACCATACAAATTAGCCAAACGCTCAGCTTGTTAAGTCTTAATAAAATCTTGCAAAAGAAATATAATCATTGGTACATTGTGTACAGTCTACTACAAAACTATGCTAATACTTGGCATAGAAAAGTGTATGGTGAATCTGGAATAAGTCAAGCATTATATACCACGATATACCCTGAAAGTACTCCACATGTACCATCAACTTACCTCCCAAAATACCATTCCATACACCAATGTACCACCCACATACTTAAATGTACCCCAATTGTCCACTAACCACCCACGTACAACCAACCACCTATGTGTCCCTAATTTATACAACCCATGTACCACCAAGTACCAACTAACTTCCCTGTCCCTGCTTGCGTTTCCTGATAAAGACAATGCTGTTAACAATTGACCAATAGAATTAGCAGCCTAGGAAACTCTTTGCCTTGGTGCTAACTACAGCAGATTTCACAATGTTATAAGATAAATATCATAATTTAAAAAGTATTAACATTTAATACTTATGCCTACATTACTCACTAACATGATAATGAACATTCAACAGAATGAGATTTAAGTACATTCTTAAAGGAGACACAATGTAAACATAATAATCAGCATTTAACATTATATTGATCTCGATTCAATGATGACATGCATTGTATCTTAGCCAATGATTTGATGCAATTTTCAGGATGCTAACATTTCCAACAGGCATGTAAAAGGTGAATGCACCCAAAGCTAAATGCTATCGTTACCATATGCCGCAATACATATATAAGAACCGTTTCCTTTTCCTATTTAAAGCTAACTGATAATTTAAAAATCATACTTGTGTTGCCCGATTCATTAAGTACCTTATATTCCAGAGAAGAAATGTGACACAAGGATTATTCAAAAACTAAAAAAAAAAGAAAAACAATAAAAAAAAAGAAAAACAACTAAACAATGATATCATATTGTCACTTGATTAAGCCTTAAAACTAGTAGCCAAAACGTAAAGCAATGGCAACTCTATGCCTTCTCAGCATTCCATGTCAAGTAGGGCAAAACATCATTCCTATTATTAAAACTACTAAGCCAAATACCATACGAATAACATTTGCAGTACCCGCTGCTATTTGGGGATCAGATTCAAATCTTAGTCACTAAGCGCAAGCTCAGTGGTCTAGTGGTTAAGACAACAGGCTAGTTATCTGGAGGTTGTTGGTTGAATTCCCACCCGATTCACTTGGAAAATTTTTTCCCAAGTATTTCAGAACGTACTGAGCATTCAGTACATTAACACACCAGGTAGGACAAAATATCATTGACCACTATTATCATCAGAGATACCATCTCATATTTTAAAATCATTCATTGATTCAAGTGTCATTGTTCCTAGTAGCAGTAGACTAAATTTATCAATATTCATAAAACAGACTGATATCTCTACATAGTATATTCGTAAATCATACTGTAAATTCATCATAAAGCAGACAGTATTTCATCTGGATCCAAAATAGCAGTATCTAATTAATGTGAAGTGCATATGATGCCTATATATAATTTATAGACAGAATTATGATATAATGTGCATTTTTGGAACTGGACTCTTGTCATAAAAGTAAACAGATCAAATAAATCACTAAGTATGATTTATAAGACTGTTTTGAACTAGCAGTATAAATATATACTTTTTATTATTTTGCATCAATGCTGTACAACAATAGAAGTCAAGTCGAGTCTGGGAATTTAAATAAACATGTTTTGCCTAGTAGCTACTATAATAAACTTCATTGTTATCCATGTACTTTAGTCTGTAAAGTAATATATAAACTTTAATCTACCCATCATTCAACATACTAACTTATTTATATATCATTTTTCAAAATTCCTAAACATAGTTCATTGTATATTATTTAACATTTGTTCACAAGGTTTTCATTTGTTTGAGGTTCACTTTAAAAAAAAAGAGGAACTTTAAATAAAGGAGGAACAATTGACTATAGCATAAAGTCATCAAAGATAAGTTTCGAAGATACAATAATACTGACTTAACAGATAATTAAATGAGTCAAATTCAGAAGTTAAATATCCCTTTCAAGGTAAAGTAAGCACACATCCTTATTTATCAAGTTGAGTATTTGGCAAATGGTCAAACAAAAATTTAGCATTTAAAACAAACAAT